TGTTTTGTGAACGCTGTTTTTTGATTTACCGTTCTCATAATGTATAAATTATAATAAATAATTTGTATATTATAATAAAGGATTTGTATTGATAAGATTGTTATAATTTGTAATAATTTGTGGTTATATTAATTTAATGTAAATAATACTGTTAATAATAAAATACTAAAACCGTTAATCTACATCAATTTAATAATAAATAATAATTTAATAATAATTTAATTATATGATATAATAATTTTAAAACACTTAAATATTAAAAATGTTTTATTATTAATTTTAATACAACATTTTTAATTAACACTATTATTTTGAATTGATTGATAAAAATGTATTAAATTTTTATAATAAAACATAGTATTTTTATTGCTTTTTCGTTAATTCAACCGTAGATATTTAGAATAAATAATTGAATTGTTATTTAATAGTTTATTGATAATTAATAAATGGTTTATTTAATAATTTATTCTCTAAACAGTTTGAATCTTTCTATACATCTCAATAAAAGTTCAATGTTTTTGATTTGAAAACAGATTCAAATTGTTCAAATTTCGAAAAAAGTTCAAAGAATTTTTTATCAACTTTTCTTTAAAAATGTAATTTATGTACACAAATCTATTTTAGGAAGTGTAGGACAAGATTCTGGTCCGCTTTAATGTTGATATTATATATTCAAATTGAAAACAACAACTCAAATACAAATGAATAATTTTAATTAATGATTTATTAGTTTTTAATCCTTAAGTTCAGATCATAATAATTAAATATTTTGCCAAATTCATAAAGAAAAACCGGTTATTACAAATGTATTGAACTTGGTTAAAATCTTCGTTCTGTTATAAACAAAGAGCATTAAAAATGATATTTAAAAAATAATGTTAAATAAATGTCGACATATAAAAAGTTATATTAAATATAGAATAATACGTTTTCAATTTATTTGTTTTTGTATAATGTCATGTTTAACAATAATTTTAAAGTATTAAATGTAATATGCAATATTGTATAAATTATAATGTGATGATGATTGTATATATTGATTGTAAATTGTTTACCTGAACAACCGTTTTATGTTTTTTATGAATCAATTAAACTTGGGGTTATGATGTAAAATATATAAGCCGTGAATAAATCTACAGTCTATATTTAAAGTTTATCTAATACCTTCTAGATTATTATAATATTTCGAAAAGTTATACAATATATATCCCTATTGTTTATTTTTGCGTTTTACTTGGTGTGATGTTTATATAAAATTATTGCTATTTATTTGTCCCCAGATAACATTAAAAGACTGCCTTTATATTCAAATTTTAGATGATTTGTTTAATCATAAAAAATACCAATTATTTGTTTTGGATAATATAAACATTTTTGTTTATTAATTTATTATTTTTTGTTAAACTACTTTTTGGTTTAAAATTTTTTGTTCTTTCAATTTTATTAATGTTGTATACACGTTTTCAGTTAATCATATTATAGACAATGTTAATGTAATTAGTTTCAAAAGTGCGATTTCGGTAAATCTATCTTATACGGTTCCCATTTATTTTTTCCTAATTGTTGTCTTATATAAAAAAAACGCAATTTGATAAAACCCTTTTCACGATATTTTCAATAATAATTACGTCTTTTTTCAGGAAAAAAATCAGTTAAAATTCAGTTAAATAACTGAGAAGCACTAGTGCCGGTATGTTTTTATGGGTTATGTACTATAATCCAAAGATAAAAATAGTATTTATTTATATAATATTTATATAATAATTTTATTAGTTGTAGTAAAAAAATTTCAATTTTTTAAAAATGAATCAAGCATTGACAAGGATAAAATAAAAATACAGAAACTTGGAATTGCAGCAAATAATAAAATAGTTTTTGTGAAAAATTGTGAAATTTTTTCCCGAAATATTTTATAAATAAATATGGAAAAAAGGTGTACAAGGTTTATAGCACCGACTCTAATAACAAAATAACATAATTATTATAATATTATATCATTCAATTGTTCTTATTTATACAATATTTGTGTTTCGATTGTTTTTTCATGAAAATGTGTTGTTTTCATAACACATTAATATGAGTTTTGTTTTTATAATATTAGATAATATTAGATAAGAGGCTAAATGATGATAGATTTTTTTATAACAATAAAATTACAATTAAAACTTAATTGAAATAATTCAATTAAATATGAAAAGAGTAGATGTCTTCTCAATGCAAATTATTGCAAAGTACTTTCTTGTTTTCTCAGATTATTTTTCTATCATCCAAGTTTGCAAAAAAAATATGAGTTTCTTCTTGATCGTTTTCGTATCAACCCCATCCGAATAAGCCCAGAGTCCAAACCGTTATTTACACACATTCAAATTCAAATTGTATATACTCCATATGACATTATCGTCCCAGTTGATCGTCATATCTTTCTTTACTTTGTTATTTATAAAGAGTACAAAGAGAAAAACACACAATTTGAAGTGTACAAAAACGTCCGCTTTACAACAGAAGATATTGAAAAATATGGATCAAAGATACCAGAAGAAATCTCACAACTTGGTGATTATCTTTACTTCCAAAATATGGATTTAAAGAGTGTTTAAATACCATCAAAAGTCACTAAAATTGGGGAGTGGACTTTTAATGAATGTGGTCTCACGACAATTGAAATTCCGCCTACTGTTAAAGTGATTCAATATAATGCATTTGGATCGTGTGGTGCATTAAAAGTAGTCAAACTACCAGAAAATATCACGGTAATACCAAAATCGTGTTTTGAAAATTGCACCGAACTTGAAAAGATCAACTTTCCTGAAAGTCTTCAATTTATTGGAAATTGTGCTTTTTTACAAGCAAAACTTGTCGATGCTGTTATACTAAATAAGTGTGAAATTGGTCACAGTTGTTTTGCAATAAACTCAAATTTGACTCGAATTGTGTTAAATGGAGTTACATGTATTCCGGACTTTCTCTGTGACTCTTGTTCCAGTCTCAAAAAAGTTGAAGTTTCTAAAAAGTTGATTGAAATTGGTGAATTTGCATTTGCGCGATGTGAAAGTCTTGAGAACTTTGATTTCAATGAAGATTTGGAATTTGTAGGAAACTTTGCTTTTAAATTTTGTAAGCAACTTAAAATTGCACATTTGAAAAAGAAAGTGTGTCATGTTGGTAAGTTTGCTTTTATGGGATGTGAAAAATTAGAAGAAATTGTTATTGAAAACAAAAATGCTTTTGTTGGTATTGGTGTGATAGAAAAATGTGACAGTCTTACTAAAATATCAATTTCGTTTGACATAAATAAGAATGAATTTAAAGTAACAGAAAATGAGTTAACAATATTAAATAAATTGGACTTAAAAAGTGTTACACAAAGTGTCGATAAAATGTTTTACAGTGAAATTACTGAAGAAAATGATAATATAGACTTTTCAACCATCTCAAAAATCGGGTTGTACGAAAACCAATCAATTACCAAAGTTGATTTAAATACTTCATTGGAGCAACTTGGTTTTAATCAAATTGTATTAAATTCACTCACATCATTGTTTATTCCATCGACCGTTGCACTTGTTGATGATTATTGCATTGGGTGTTGTAATTCTTTGAAGAATTTTGTTGTTCCAAAATATGCAACTTCAATATGCAAAAATGCAGTTTGCCAAGAGTTAATAACACGGATATTGTTTCCTAAGAACACAACACAATTTGATTGCAAATTCGATTGTTGGCAATTTAATGAATTTGAGATACCAAATGGTGTCAAAGAAGTTGAGGAAAACACGTTTCGTGAATGTCACAACTTGGAGAAGATAGTGATCCCTTCGACGGTGACAAAAATCAATGAAAATTTTGTGGTTAAATGCACTAAACTCTCTGAAATTGAAATACTTCAAAGTGATAACAATTCAAATTTATTGGACGTAGAAAAGGTGATTCTGAAAAAGCACAAAATATTACACGACTTAGTAAAAATCCCTGAGTATATAGACACGTTAGATTTTGGGACAAATTTCGCAGAAAATGTGACTCAAATCAATGTACCAAATACTATCACTAAAATTGGAAACAAAGCTTTTTCAGGAGTTATAAATTTGTGTGAGTTAACACTTCCAGACACTTTAAAAGAGATTGGAAAACACATCTTTTCTCACAACATTAAATTAACAAAAATTGATATCGGCAACAACACACAAAACGATTTTGATAAGTTCGTTGTGAGTTATTGTTGCCATTTGAGACTTCTTAATTATAGGTATCATTTTAACACTATCGAATTTATTGATTCGGACATTGAAAATGTTGGCAATACTTTCGATGTGACTAAACTGCGAAAGTTTGCAACGACATCGGTATTAAATACTCAACTGTTTGATCATATCCCACCACTTGTAACTGAAAACTGTGATTTGTTGTTAAATACAAAACACTTGATTATTCCAAATGAAGTCACTGATATGATTGAATATACTTGTGAAAATATGCCAATCCACGCAGTTGAAATATTTAATGTTCCTGTTATAGCAGAAGGCGCGTTTTCTCAATGTCGTTATTTAACACAAATTGTTTTGAATGAAACATTGAAATGTATTAAGAGTAACGCGTTTGAGTCGTGTTTATCATTGAAAGAAATAGTTCTTCCAAAAAGTCTTCAATACACAGGAAACAGGGCGTTCGAAAAGTGTTGTTCCCTCACAAAAGTGTCATGTGAAAATGATAATATTATTTATGGAACAAAGTGTTTTGCTTTTTGTGTTTCACTGAAAGAAGTTCCAGTTATAAAAAATATAAACGTTGCGATGTTCTTTGAGTGCAAATAACTTTCTCAAATTTCATTGAGTGAAAGTTGTAAAGAGATTTGTGATTTTGCGTTTTATCGATGTTTGTCACTCATAAAAATTGGTATCCCAAAAAGCGTCACAAAAAATTGGAGTTTTTAGTTTTAGAAAGTGTGTCACATTGAGAGAAATTGAAATACCAAAAAGTGTAATTACCATCGAGGATGGTTCGTTTTATGACTGTAAAAACATTAAAAAAGTTTTTATAGATAATTCCAATGTTATGTGTGGAGTTGATGTGTTTGAGGGTTGTGAAAAAATCACTACACTGCAAATTGGCAACGAAAAAGAAAAGTACCAATTTGAAGTGAGTTACTCGTTTTATTTACAAATGAAGAATATACATCAGTTGTGAGAATATAGTAGTGAAGAGAAGTGATGTTCTTAAATATAGCACTGCAAAAATGATTAATGAAATTCAAATGAACAAGTTAATTCACAGACTTGACAAAGGCTGCTTCTTCATGAATTCCGAGTTGACCAAAATTGAAGTTTTAAACAATGTGACAGAAATTGGAAATTTCGCATTTTACAACTGTCTGAATTTGAAAGAAGTTATCTTGCCAAAGAATATTGTCGAGATTTCACCTACTGTTTTGATGGATGTTCAAACTTGAGTTTTATAGAATTGAAAGGAAACATTGAAAAATATGGAATATGTTGCTTTAATCAGTGTTTTAATCTTAAAGGCAAAGTTGATATACCAGAAGAATACTTTGAATCTCAACAAGACGAAAATGATGAGGTCAATTAAACATATGAAATGCACAAATAAACTATTGAATTATAATCTCAAAGTGATTTTAGTTAAAATAAAAGAATTTGAAAATTAAAAATTCCATTTATATTTTCAAACCAATAATAACTGAAATAATCAATATAATATAATAATAATAATTAATGATTAACATTTAATTGTCAAAAAAGACATATTTTTGTCCACCTTTTTGATTTTTTATAGAACTTAAAATAATCTTTTAATTTACAGTTGACCAAGTGATTATCATAGAACAAATAATTGTAGGGTGTATTTCTTATTGATTATATTTGAAATAACGGGTTAAAAAAATGAAAAAAAGTACAAAAATAATAAGAAACTTAAATCTATTTTTATAATAGTTCTTAGAAATATTAACTCAATAATCAGTATTAACTTAACACACCAAATTTTTATATTAACACGTTCAAAACAGAAAAATAATAATAATAAGTTTTTATTTTTTTCTTTTACCTAAACCCCTTTTTTGCCTTCATACACAAAACAAATTTTTGAAAATTTTTATTTTTTTATCAACTCAATTTTGAATTGTATATTTTATAGTCACACTTAAAGTGAATGAGTTTGTTTGTGTAAAACAAGAGCAAAGCTTAAAAAAAAGATGGGGTCTAATGATGGTTTGATATTTTTGGTTGTTTTTTATAAAAAGAATATTGTCATTTGATTATAACGATATTGGTGTTTTTAAAGTCGTTATATTTATTAATGTGTCTATTTGACATTGTTTGTTATTAAGTGGATTGACGATGTAGCGTTTTTATATTAAATGTTCAACATTATAAAGCGATATGAAATTTCATCCAAAAAGATTATTTTTGATCAATCTTAGGTAATTGAGTTATTATTTGTTAATTGTTTTAAGTAAAATAAAACTGACTATTGGCCGGTTTAGGTTAGAAAGGGGTTTTGGAATAAAAAATAATAAAAAATGATTTGGACAATTTTCTTTTTACTTATTTTTCTTTTTAAAAAAAGTTTTGGGTTGTGAAAGTGTTAATAGAGTAATATAAATAAAAAATATTTCATTGAATAAAAATAAATATTAATGCTAAATAAAGTTTCAATAGGTAATATTTAGTTAATATTGCCATTAAAAACAAAAAATAACACATTTAAATTACAATCACTTTTCAAACTTAAACAAGTGGCGTTTTCAATTATTCACATAACAAAGTTATCAACAATGTTAAACCTTTATATATTTATAAACAATAATGAACAATGATATTAATACAAATGTAATTGTTGAATGAAATTTCCAGTTGAAAATGATTGTTAATGACATTGTTATTCATAAATATTGATTGCAACTTACATACAATTCTTGTGACATTTTGTTGAAACAAAGAAAAATCAAATATACACAATTATTATTAATTTAATTGTGTAACTAAGTCGATGTTCGCTATTTTCATTCAACAGTATTTTGTTTTAATTACAAATAAGAGAGTTATTATTTTCAATTATTTTTTTAAACTTTCGTTTTATTGTTTTTCATATTACAACACACAACAGTAACCACATGTATTTTATTAACACAACAATATTAATGATATAGTTGAATAGAGGCACCTATTTAATAATAATTTTAATAATTTATTTGCAACAGTTGGTGTATATTATTATACTGTTTATTGCAACACTTTTCATTTGAAAAACAGCCTAAAATTAAATAGTGGTAACTTTTTAGTGTGTAAACATGTAAAATCAAACTAAAACATTATAATTAAGAGAATATCATAGTTTACAACAATTTTAGGTTCCGACTTGTGGCTCGTGTGTATGTGTACATAAGATATTATGCTCAATTTCCGGTAGTTTAATGGTTAAAATGGATATAACCAGTATATTACAGTTTTGATAAATTCACATTCATTCATTTGAATAAAAATAAAATTAAGAAATATCACGATGTATTTTCAACAATTATTAGACAGCAATTTTTGTAAAAATAAAATGAAAAAAATTCATTTTTATATGGTTAACCTTAAAATGGTTGTTGAGTTAACACTTCTTAAATAAGTTTATATTTCACACAACTCATATAATGAGAATATAAAAATGTTGTCATTTTGCATATTATTCGTTGCTATTTTTAAATACCACCACCTTTTCAACAAAATACAATTTTTGAAATTTGTTGATTACAATATTCACTACATAAAACATGCATTACTATACAGATGTGGGCTATAGTATATATATCATTGTTTGACAAGTTGTGCTTTTTTATCAGTTTCGAATTGTTAACTTTTTATTCTTTGTTTCGTTTACAACTGTTTAAATTTATGCGTCATTCAATTTAAATTCTTATGAATATTTTTTTTTCTGAGACAAATAGTAGAACTAAATAAAAAACAATATGCTTTTGTATTGTTATAAAATACACGTATAAACTACTCAAACATTTTTGTTTAAAACACGTGTTGTAGTTTAACTTTAATCAAGCTTTACGGAAAACAAATTATAACTGTATTGTTATCACTTGTGTATTTGGATGATTGCGTTCATTTTTTATAAATATTTAAAATGTGTAATGTTTTGTTAATTGTATTAACATGTTACATTCTATTAAACGAATTGAATCAATATAAATTGAATCACTGAAATATAATGATAATACATTTACACCAAAACCATTTTGTCCAAACAAATAAGTTTTATGAACACTTAACATAATTCGAATCGAAACAAGAATAAAGTTAGAAATGAATAAAAAATAAATAACAACTATTGCTATTTTTTCAAATATGTTGTTTTTGTTCATTTATGTATTATAATCAGTCATCATTGACAACAAATTTCAGAAAACACGCCTTAAGTTTAAAGTTGTTAATTTAAGGTAAACAATATTTTACATTCTAAATTCATTAAAAGTTTAATCTTATAATTTCTCCATTTTAGCTTATTTCAACTTTTCCACTTTCAAATTCCAAATTTGAAATTTCGATTTCCATATTTTTTAATAGATTTATTGTGAATAAGAAGCATCATCTTTCAACTGAACTTCCATTCTTTTTTGGCCGGAAATACGTTTTTAAACGGCTGAAAGCCGATTCACACAAAGTAAAAGTTAAGTTCATTGAAAGATATAGAAATAAAACTTCTTGTAAAAGTGGATATTCTGAAGTTATAAACATTCTATAATCATATAAATCGAGATGTTTATTATCTTCGTCTTTTTTATACAATATCGACTGCCTGATAGTTTTAATATCATTGTTTTCATTATAAAGATTTACTTCACATTCAAACCTTTTCATCCAATTCTGCACTTCATATTTGTCTGTTATAAAATCGTCAAATACATTCCAGCAGTAGACGTCAGTATAAACCATAAATTCATTTCGTAGTGCTAAACTTTTTTCTTCAAATTTACAGTATTTGAACTCATTTTCTGTGAAAAAGTGTTTGCAAATTACTGTTCCACATATCGATTCAAACCTCATTTTTAAATTTTTAAAAATGCATTCGAAAAATGACTTTAACTTTTTGAATTTTTTTCTGTGTAACCCGGAGCATTTTCACCGAATAGATGAGATGAGAGAGACAGGAAAGAAGAAAATACACGCACTTCAAGTTCTGCATTCATTTTGACCAAATTGTCATTCAATTCTCCGACTTTGAGCAGTTCTCTTGGAAGATAACGCTTTTTGAATTGTAAACACGTCAGTGTTTGTTTGAATAGACACAATATGTCGCGAATTACCCCCACAATAAAAATGATATCCGATGACTCTAAAATCTGTAAACACTCATCAATTGAATATCCTGGTATGTATTCGATACATTCATTGTCAATATGTTTCTGCATCTTTTCGGTATTATTACTTAGTTATTATTTTTCTTTTGCAATGATTTTTTCTTTGTTTCTAGATCCCTTTTAAATTTGTGTTCTTGTTTTTGTTGAAGGTATTTTATGATTTCGACTCTCAATTTATACACTGAAGCTAAAGTTGCCCATGTTGATACCCACCGAGTTGCACAATAACCTTTAACTCCCTCTAAACTATATTTTAAAAAGTCCATATCATTTTCAAGTTTATTCACAATAGAAAGACACAGTTTAATCGATTTGGAAACTGCCCAATGTTCATACATATTTTTAATAATAAGATTTAATTTGTGGCTACTGCAGTGAACTTTGTTACATTTGACACCAAGAGTTTTCATATAATTAACAAAAACACCCGCGAACCCATTCACACCCGCTACATTTGCACCACCATCAGTTGTTACGTTTCTGATTTTTTTGTATTTATATTCCAATTTTTTCGAGTCTTTTCATAACTTTTTCGAATATATTTTGGCCGGTTGACTTTTTTCAAGTATAAATGCTGAAACCAAATATTCAAAAAACTTCAAAATAAGCGGTAACAAACCTCATAATCACCAAATTGTACTTTTCTTGGAAACTTTGCTTCCATTAAGCTGTAACCCAATATAAACAGTCTTTTTTGAAAGTGCGGCCAAATTTACTTTAATGTTTTCAGTTGTTGTTGTTTAATTTCTTTTAAGAGTATAATAACTCGTGTGTATTTAGTTGTCAAAAAGTTCTCCATTTTTGTTGCTCAAATCTCTAAACTTTTTGCATAACTAGAAGGTTTCGTTACCTTTTGTTGAGAGCATATGATTTTCGCTCATTATTGTTGTCATTTGCTTTGTAAATTCTTTACAATCTTTGACAACTTCCTTCAATTTTTCTTTTTTATTAACACATTCAAGATTTTTTTATTATAACAGTCTTTACCTTTTCATAAGCCACTAAAATTCTTGAGAAAGTTTCTTTGTTGATTGTTAAATGATATCCTTCAAAATGTGAAGATGCAAAGTTGTTTTTAATCATTTTATTACAAATTAAACAAGTAATTATATATATATATATATATATATATATGATTAATCTCGAACATACAAATATAAATCAACTTTATATAACTTACTATATATTATATGATATAAATATTATTTTTTCAAAACTCCATTTAAAAAAATGTCAGTAATAAAATAATCACCTGAAAAAAATTCAAGTATTAAAAAATACAACAAACAAAAGGCAGAGTGTCTATTCTCTGTTGTAAATTACAATTATTTTTAAATAACTAGAAAATTATTAAAATGCTAAAAAAATACTGTTTTTATCTGTACACACATTTTTTATATTTATGTGTTTCAACTAAAAGAAAAAATATAAAACAAACTCGAAAACATTATTTAGTTTGTTTAAAAGTGAATTAAATACCTCATTTAATTAAAGTTTTCTTGGCTTCAAATTCAGTATCGATATTGTTTTTTATTTGTTTAAGTGCTTCAATATCCCCAAACACAACGTTTTCCAACTCCTGTTGATATTTGTTGAAAGACGTTCCAAGTACCCTTTTCTTGTTATTCAAATTGATTTTAGCCTTTTCCCACAAAAAGTTACTAAACTTTTCCGAGTTGTTCCTGTAGTTTTCTTCGAATATTTTATATTCATTATATTTATTATTTCCATTTAAATTGCTACTATTATGAATAGTTAACTCGTCCAAAGTAACACATCCATTTTCATTTTTCATTAAATAATATTCTTTTGTAAAAACCACTTCATAGAAATTATTCAATTCGTCTGGAAGTTCAATAGAAAATTGGTCTCCAGCGATCATGTGTTTTTTATGATTGACATCGATTTGACTTTTTCTCCACTTTGGTTCTAATAACAAGGATAAGTACAATGCGCATCCTATTGAACTTGAATTATTACCATTCAAGTGAGTTTGAATTGGTACACACTTTTTAATTTCATTGAGTACTGGCGATGGTCTCCACCCCGATCCAACAACTTCACAAAACTCAATTTTTAGATCTCCCAAGTACTTTGTTGTCGTATTTGAAATAAACTCACACAACTTCTGTGTTTCCTTTGCGACTGTATCTCTATATTCTTCATATGAAATTTTAATCTCATACGAGTCATCTATCGTGTTCAAATCACTTTGAAAATACTGCGCGTCACCACAAAAACTCTTTTTGACTTTAAGAATGAAGTCTTCAGGTACATTAACGTGGTCACTGCCAACTTTATCTTTGATCAGTTTCTCAAGTGGAGCAGTCAAGTCGTTGTTACCAATATCAATGGAGTTGTTTGCAATTATGTTAGTGTTATTTTTGCAATTTGTGAAGAGACAGAAATCCGTAGTCTTCACGCCAATATCTAAAATCCCAAAGACTTTAGTTGTGTCATTTTCACGTGACAAAAGAATTTCAGTGAGTGGTCCCAAGTACATCGGCACAACCACTATTTTCACGTTGATCACTTCGCCCGCTTTAATAAGCAATTTTGCGAAGTCGACATTGTGTTCGTGTGGTCTAAGAGCCACTGCGGCAATTTCAAAGTTCGTTTTGGTTTTAATGAAGTTCAGCATAATAGCAACAACGGTTTGGCAAGTCAAAGTGCCATACATTCTTTTGTCAAAGTCGTATTCGTTATTCTCACAACCACTAAATATGTGCTCGTACACAGTGACTTCGTTATTACTCTTTTATGTTATTGTTTTATTTTAAATAATTAAAAAAATAATAACTAAACAAACAATGGTTTTGAAAAAGGGATATATCTCTCTTTTGTCAATTGAAATGACATTGGGAAGTGTTTCTGGGTAATTCTGGATTTTCAGAGTTTCAAAATAATAAGGTGTTTGTGTTGAAACAACAACGTTGTCATACCCCCAGTCAATTCCTATAATAACAGGAGGTACTATATTATCTTCTTGTATTGTAGGACTTTGAACTACACAATTTTTTTCGTCTTTTGGAATTAAATAACTTTGAGATTCACTGGGGCTAACTTTGTTAATTAGTCGTGAGAAATAGTAAATAAGTAATATAATTGCGAGTACAATAAATAAAGTAACCACACTTAAAGCTACAATTGAAATGGTAGAAAGTGACATTTATATTTTGAAGTTGTGAGTTTGGAGTTTTTAAGATTAAAAAATAAATGATATTAATTTTATTGGCAAATGATAATATATTAAAAATCATTTTCTAATTAAATATAGTTATCCAATTTGAGTTAAAATTTAACAATTATAAGTTAAATGATTTGACACGTGGAATCTATTGTATCTATATTTTGACTGATGTCAGCCACTTAATAACAGAACTCTCCGCCATATAAATATACTTAAACAATATTATTGCTATTGTTTTAATTTATTACACTTTTTTAATCATTTCATATTTTAAAATTATCATATTATTACGAATGGGAAAAATAAAGGGTGACATATAATAATTTGGTGTCAAGGTTAAAAATTAATCAAATAAATTTGTTATTTGTACTTTCAAAATGCCTTTGCCTTTGTTGCCAACACAGAGGAGTTCACGTGATTCTTTTTCAACGGGAATGACTTCACCGGTGTCATCAAATGTCAGCGACTTTTTGTTTGTCATGACATTGTCATTTAACACACTCATTGTGATGTTTGAACGACTCATCTCAATCACACGGACTTTTTCCATTTTCTTTGTTTCCTTATTTTTTTGTATAGCAATTATTTAAATTATTATAATACCAATTATAATGAATGCTATAATCAGCACTGAAACAATTGGAACGCCAACTACAACACCGTAATTTGTGGTGTGAATACAACTCAACATATCGTCACTCAACTTGTCTTTGTCATCACATTTTGAACATTTGTTGTTGGCGATCTCAACAAAATTCTTAAATAGTTTAATGTGAACAGACACTTGACACAAATACACTGTCTTTCACACAATCAGTGCACTCATCAATACCATAACATTGTGTACACGTGTCTTGACACTTCACACACAAATTGTTGGAGAGATGGTGTCCACCTTCGCATTGCACACAACCAGCTGTTGTTTTGTTTGCACACGAAGTCAACTCGCTTTGTGGCGAACACAACTTGGTGACATTTGATGATGTGCGATAAAATTCATCATCGCACACAACACAGTTTCCTTCGTTTGTGCACGACTTGCATGACACATCGCAACTAATACACATTGACCCATCATACGAAAGCATGTATCCGTCTTTGCAGATGACACCCGCGATATGTTGACATCAACACGTCACACACACTGACAAGTTCGTTGATTTCAGTGCAAATGCCGTTGCTATTTGCATACGAGTAATCGTCGCACTTGGTGCAAAATGTTTGATTTGAACAGAAGACACAGGGGTACTCACACTTCACACACATGCGGTCTGCTAGGTAATACCCACTGAAACACCTCAGACACCCCTTTGTGGTGCTCACTTCGCAATGGCTGTCTGTCTGTGTTTCTTCATTTTTAGTTGTCTGTTTAATGGTCTCATTTGGAAGCGTTTGTGGCACACACAAAATTCCATCGAAAAAGTAATCAGACTCACACTCGACACATTTGGTGTTGAGCGACGAGACAACACCACAATTCGACAACGCGCCAATTTGTTCTTTACAGCCATCAACGTCTTTGTAATAACCACTTTCACATATGACACACACTTTGTCAAATGAAGAGCAATGAATTGACTGGGTGTTTGTGCACACGCCGTCAACGTTGATGGCATTGTTACATACAATGCAAACATCTCCATTCTGATTGTCACAATTTGGATTGTTTGGTAAACAGATTCCATGTGAAAAGTGATGTTTTGCATCACATTTGAAACAATCACGACTTGATATAATTGAACACATTGTATTAGTTGTACACGCGCCATCTATCAAAACTTTGTTATTTTGACATTTTAAAATAGTGATAACTCCATTTGAAATGACACACACTTCACTCTCACACTGTTCAACGGTGTTGTTGTTTGTTGTGTGATACCCATTCACTGCCAAGTAACAATACTCGTTGTGTGATATTCCACAATGTTGTTTTGCTTTGCCACACAACACGTCATCAACACAATACAAACACTTGGTGCCACTTTCTCTGTTGATTTCATATTTACAATTTGTGGTGTTAATGGCACAGTTGCCATTCGATGTGATCACATCTGAAACGCATTTGTCGCAGCCGTGTTGCGAGTATGTCTCACACTTCTCATTTTTAACATTACAAACACCGTTTAACAACATCGTTTTCAAATCACACAAGTAACACAGTGTATCGATTTGGTTGATGCACACATTCATGTTAGTGTGTAATTGGTGATCATTTGTGTTGAAGTATGTTGTTGTTGTGTATCCCAAATTGCACGCCTTCAAGTCACTTGAAGTGACATATGGCGCAAAACAGGCGGTGCAAATGTGTTGATTATTGACATAGTCTGCGATCTGACACTTTGGGATGACATTGTACGAGTAGTCTCACCTTGTTTCTGTGACTTTGACCATCCCAACTTCACATACAACACAACTGTTGCCAATTGATATCATGTTGCCTGCACACGACAGACAAATTTTCGTTAATTTAGAACATGTCAGACAGTCATCATGAATATTACTACATGGTTGACAGTTGGCACATTCATTCAAATAAAATCCATCTTCACACGATAGACAAACACCATCTGATGTCTCATCTGTGCACAAATCGTAGTATCCAGATGGAGCACACAACACACATCTGTTGTCAACTCTCTTGTTGCCAGCTTCGCATGATGTGCACGCACCACTTTTTCTGTCACACTTCTTACATTCAGTAGTACACTGTTGGCACTGCAAAACACCGCCTTCTGAGTATGTGAGGTCGCCACACAATGTACACATGCCATTGTCAAAGCCATATCCAGCAGCATACAAGAGACGTTTTCCATTTGTTTTTCACTGCAACTTGCACACGATGAGTCACACAACTTGTATGTGGTTTGTCCAACAACATCTTGGTATTCCATCTCACCACAACTTTTACACGCAGAATACAGGTAGTATGTTCCCGTTAGACATATGGCACACTTCCCAGCTGCAAGACCATACCCAGTCACACAGTTGACACAATATCCATTTGTGGCATCACACCCATCACATTTCGTGTCACATTGCTGAAATGATAATGATCCAGCAGTTGAGTATGTCGTCTCTACACAACTGTTACAATAAGAAGAGCCTACATTAGCATATGTACCCGCCTTACATACATCACAAGTGTTTGTTGTTTGGTTTGCCATTATTCCTGAATTGCACAATAAACACATTCCATTAGAATAAACAGCACCACTCACACAGGCTACACACTTCTCACTTGTTCTTTCGCACAATCAAATATACAAACACAAACTATCACAGCCTTTGCAACTTGTTGGTCCTGTTGTGTTGTAATAAGTCCCGTCTGATTGGGTGACAAAATAATCTGGCAAAAAATAATCCGACATTTTATAATTTTACTTTTAATAATTTTCAATTAAAAATGCAACAAATTTCAACAATATTTCAAGTCGTTTTTGTTATTCTATTAACTGTATATATTACATTGTGTGTTTATAAACTATTATTTATATAATATAAATCAATGTAAATACTTTTACTAATCTATTTTTATTTTTATATAAAAAAGTTGCTTTGTATTTATTATATACCACTTAAATAGTATAAAGGATATAATAATAATCAAGCTAATATATTTTTTGTTTACTGCAGAAGTATTTTTATGTTAATTTGTCATTTTATGTTTCGATACATTTTATATAAATCATAATTTAAATGTATTGTGTAACTTGGACAACATTAAAAATAATCAATAAAATTAAATTTATAATATTTAATACATATAAATACATATTATAATTGGTGTCTATCATATTTTAATCCTTTCGTCTTATTTTATGTAAATAACCAATTGATCTTTCGAATAAAAATGAAAAGAGTTTTTTTTAATCAAAATATATTTATTTAAACAAACAATAATAAAACTGTGTATATCATTTAATCCAGATTTGAAAGAGATTAAAAGCCAAAAAGATGCAAAGATGGAACCTACAACTTATTGCCAGTTGTTCAAGGTTACATTTATCATTCTCAAAGTGGAAAGAAGAATGAAAGTATTTATAAATGTCAAGATTGTGATGTTAAGATTAAAGTTGTTAAAAGTGATCATGACGATTATGGTCAAATACATTTTGTTGATTATTCTTATGTAGATACAGAAAAAACAAAACATCCACATTAACCAAAAAGACAAAGTAGATACTAAAAAAACACTCCGCACCGTCTTTTCAAAAATGCCAATTTATTACTTTCAGCTACCAAAATAATGGATCACAATGAAGAGTTGTTTATAAATGACAAACAACGATAAGACGTACGATCAACAGACTTAAAGTGGAATTAATCAAAGAAAAGTTTGATGAATTATTTGAAAGTGAAAATTTTTATAAGAAAGAGGACGATGACTTTTTCATTTTAATAAATACATTTAAGATTAAACAGATGAAATCCAAAACAGTATCTTATGTATTGATGGATAGGACATTTAGTTCGTGTCCATCCAATTATGAACAAATGTACAATATTCATTGTATATTATCAAATGGTCAATGTTTTATTTTGGTTCATTGTCTCATGTACAAAAGAAGAGAAAAAGATTATATTAATTTGTTTGAAATAATAAATACCTTTTTTCTTTTTTTGGGAAAAACCTTTATTTTCCAAAAATGTTAGTGTTATGATCGACTTTGAGAATGCAGTAATTAACGCTTTAAATAAACTTGAATGTTTTGTACATGGGTGTAATTTCCATTTTTCGCAGTGTTTATGGAGATGTGTACAAAAAGTGGATTGTCAAATTATTATTTTCCAAATTCTATAATTTGGACAATTGTCAACAAATTGAAAACGTTGGCCTTTTATAAACCAAGCGAAGTCAAGGAACGGTTCATTAAAATAAAACAAACAGCATTGGATATTGTAATAGAAGAAAAACAAACAAATGGAATTCGAGAAATTATTAATTATTTTGAAAAAAAATTGGATTGAGAAATATCCAATTTTACTGTGGAATCAATTCAATCAACAAATAAGAACCGACAACTTATCTGAAAGTTACCACTCGGCGTTAACAAAAAGGTTGTCAACAAAGAAGCCATTTAAACAGGCTCTCATATTAAATATCATGAATGTCGAAAAAATGTAACTCAAAAAACTTCAACAAATGAGCAACAGCCAAAACCATTACAGTAGAAGACCGACGAAATTGTTTTTTGACTTTAAATTATTATAGTGGTAATGAAATTGAAAATGATTTCCAAAACAATTTGGTCGAAGTTGTAGAAGATTATCATTGGAACAAATTATATGAAATGAATGAAAGTAATGAAATAAAGACAGATTTAAATGTTACAAATTTACATCTTTGCAATGTGAATGATAATTTTATTGGAAAAGAGACAGACAGTTTGATAATTAAAACATTAAAAGATAAAGACGCAGAAAATAAAATGTGTCAAATACAACAAAAACAAGACAAAATTGCAGACACAACAATTGCCACTCCAATTGATACGCGGATTGATACACCCAAAGACAAAATAACAAAGAAAAAAAAAGAGGAATAAAAAGAAAAAGTGATTATGTTCCTCTCTCAAAAAGACGATTTGTTGGAGATGGTAAAAAAAGAAAACAAACAATTGTCGACTAATGTTATTTCATATTATTTTATCCAATTTCAATAAAAATACAAACAATTTATAAAATAAAAAATGTTTTTATTTTTATTTTTAACACTCAAATGGCCCAAAGCTAAAAAAAATACAATTTTTCAAATAATTCTATACCAAATTTGATTTTTGCCTTTGTTTTCAAAAAACACATCGGAGAGCAGCCTCTTGCGACTTTTAATTTGTCTTGCATTTGTGCCATTAGCGACACTGGTTCTTAGTATTGTAAATTGTTTAATAAAGTAGTCGGTGGTGCTATATTTACATAATATTTCAAGGCACTTGTTGCCGCGTTCACTGCAGATGGTAATAACATTATTTTTGTGATTGACAACGCTTCGGTACATATGGACCTTCTGGTACCTTATGCCGAAACTATAGGCTGTAAGGTGATGTTTAATGCTCCATATAGTCCTGAATGAAACCCAATTGAAATGATCTTCGGAATTTGGAAGACAAGATTGGGGAATTTGCAGAATGTTAATATCAGAGATGTGATCCAAAACATTGCAGAATGCTTTGAATATATCACACCAGCAGAAATACGCATAGTGATCACTCACTTTATTTCGGTAGTGACTCGTAAAGTTTTTCACCGTGAAAACTTATAAGTATTTTAAGTTATCTCATGTTTATTATCTTTTCTTATCGAATAGATTATAAATTTATACCAATATAAACTATATAAAATTTTTGCTTTTATAATGTTTATTTTTTGTTGATTTATAACGTTTTGTTGTGAAACAATACAATGCGGTTTTACAATAATATTATATTATTTAAAACAAAATACAATAATTAAAAAACAACTTTTTGTTTTGGAACAATAAAATATTGATTTGAGGATAAATAAATAGTTCTGAAACACCCGATATTTATATGCAACAATAATGCCAATTACGCAACATTCACGCAAATTGTGCAACAAAAAAATAATTATTTTGAAACAGGGTTGAACATAGGTACAAATCTAATTGTTATGAAACAGAAATTTATTTGTTGTAAAAAATAAGGAATTGTTGTAAAACTAACTGTAACTAAAAACAAAAATTATTTTGAGTAAAATTGTTAAAAATGAATTTCAAATTGTCACAAAGTGATAAGGTTAAATAGTCGATTTTTTACATTTTAATTATATCACAGTTATTAACACTTGTTAAAGTAAAAATTTTCGCAAATTAAAAATATATTATTATTTACTTTAACAATTAAAGTTAAATCAAAACTATATTTGTTATTTTTAAAAAATAACACAATTATAACATAACTTAGTTTATTAATTATCATTTCAATATGTAAACGACTTTTGGAGTCCTGACACCAACATTGTGTAATTATGTCTTATTGATATTCATCATAATATTCAACGTTAAATATATAACTTAATTCGACATCGATTTAAAATTACTAAAATACAACACAAACTGTTATTTTTTAAACTTTTGTTTTTAATAATTACAGATAGGCAACTGGACCTTAGTCCGGTAACTCGACATTAGTCATTTTATTTTTAGTTTTGGAACATGTTTACTAAATTTTTAAGGTGTAAATTCGGGTTTTTACACACACAAAAAGAAAAAAGTGATTTATTGATATTGATTCTTAGTCTCCTTTTTGCCGAATGTGAAAAAACGGGAAATAATCCCATATTCCATAAAACAAAAACAAGAAGAGTTTGATCTAGAAACTAAAAAAAGAATGGATTATCTGAAAATGCCTATACAGTACTCCTCAAGCTGTTTTACACTCTCCAGTGTTACTTGTTTGACTCTAATCAACGTTGTGATTGATTGTGGCGCAGAAAGTTTAACCGTTTCTTCTGGAGAGGGGTTGGCAATTGTTAAACGCATAAACACACTTGCGGATTTGATGTCTACAAATACTTTGTTGTTTTTATTGTGGTTAACAACCACAAAGCCTGCGCGATGGAATGAAGACTCTATATTTTTTCTTGTTGCCTTTTCCTCGATGACTTTCATTATTTTAGTCAAATGTTCCGAAATTACACTTCCTCTTGCTGCTCTCTCATCCGAAGTTGCGCATTTACTCAAGGGATCATCAAGTTGTTTTATCCATGACGCAACTAAGTG